AAATAGCCATGCGGTTCTTTGGTGGTGTCTTCAAAACTCTCCAAGAAGAAATGTTGGAGTCCAGGAAATATTTAACAAGCTAACGTATTAATCTGTTATTAAATGTAGAGGTTTTGAATAACAGTACGTAAGTACTGTTCATCCTGATGGTTTTGCTGTGTTTACCTTGCAAAAATACAAAACGACTGAGCATCATGACACTAATGTTTTTATGGTGTCTGTAATGTGTAAAAATACAGACCACCTTTGGTTGATTTAAGTTTGACAAATGACATTGCCCAAAAAACCAAAATGATCCTGGTGCGAGGGAAACAAACTTTCATCTTCAAACAAATTAGGCAAGCCTTTAATGAATTTAATCCTGGCCATCTTGGCCATGAAACGTGAACATGAAGAAACCATAGATGACCTGGACAGTGTTGGAGTCATCATCAAAGGTGTAAGTGCTTTACAACCTTGTTAGCATTGCACATGCCCTTACCATTTTATTTGGCCACATGTATTCATTGGACTTACCCAATGAATACATGTGGCCACAAATGTTTGTGGTTGAAGAAATTCTGGAACATTCCTGGATGGGATCTGGCCTTAACAAAGGCTCAAAACTAAACGAAAACAATTTGAGGGAATGTGTAGACAAGATATGGTAAGTAGACTGTGGAGGATTAAAGACCTTCTGTAAACCTTGTCATACAAACTCCCAGTCAGAATATCATGCAGGGACCACCAGAGTCCAGAATAAACCGGATAAGAGGTCAGTATCACCAAACCTTTATACAATTTTATGACTAAAAAGGATTTGCAATAAAATGTGACTATCACAGTGAAAGGCCACTAATGATTTACAGAGTACTTTTAATGGTGCAACCTGCCAGCAATGTAGCATCACCTAATAACTCAATCTAGCCAGCAGAAAAATTATGGGTGCTTTTCTTTAACCAAATCCACCCTAAATAAATGCGATCCCATGGGGACACTTATTACATCCACTAAGTGCTTTGCTAAGGAAATAATTGGTGGCACATTGCTGTGAGGTGTTTGGACATTTCTTAATTAATATTGCAGCAGGTCCAGTTTACATAAAGACAAAACCAAGGAAAAAAGAATCAGTTTTAAAATACGACCCTCACTCTAAAACAAACTAGAGAGAAGAAAAACAGTGGCAAAATCACATGTGCAGCCCATCCTCCAACTGACTATGCTTGCTGCACAACATGATTAATGTCCTTTCACTCATTACTTGAATCATACTGAAGGGCAGTATTATCGCAAAGTGCTTGAATGACAACGCGATCTACTCAGCATGGACTTCAAAACATTGTAACATCCCAAAACCACAATTTTCAACGACTACACATCTAAACAGAAGAAGACACTTTCTGCTACTTCCTCTTTTATTACCTTCCTTTGATGCCCTGGGTCCTAAAGCCTTTCCCATTACATAGACATACATTCTGAGACCAACACTGAATAAGTTTCAAAATGCTCTTTTTTTAAACTGATACTTTTTATTTCTTCATGTTTGTAATTCAGCACAGTTCACACTTAAAGTTGTGCCACGGAAAAATCTGCCAGTGGCCTCTGCAGGGCAGAGTCAGCAGACATAAGCCAGCAGTTCTTTGTGACAGGAGGGTCGATGCTGTAATCAGTAGCGTTGTCACTACAAAAGGAGAAAAAAAGATTATAGGTGGAATCTTAAACAGCTTTCTGTTTTGAATGAAGAAACTGAAAACATTACAAAAAACGTACCTTGTAACATCTATCTCTTGGTTTTTAATCTTTAGTTTTGTGACAGGAACTTGCTGCACCACCTCATACACTGCAGGCTTTACAGCTGGAAAAAGGGAGTAAAACAATAAAATAGGACCTGACATTTAGAATCAGATACTAAAACAGACCCAGCATCAAGATATTTTTACAGAAAACACCACTGCTGGTTGTAAACGGGTTTTTCTTAACTACTGTATATACACAATTTTCCAGCTCATGCAGTGAATATTCACACATACACAAAAACCTTCCACTCACCTAAAAGTCCTTCAGAGTCGTTGGCCGAGCGATGCTTTTTTAAAACTGGCCAAAGGAATTTGTTGCCATTCTTCTCATGAACTAAGATCACCAGGCGCATCTTTCCAGCTGTAACATGTATTTTCTTGTTGTGCACAACCACTGTCACACTGCAAGGATATGGAGTTTATTTGAACTTTTTAAAGCTCTGTAAAGTTTCTGAGCATTTCACATATTTTGGCAGATTTTTGTTCTGCACATAATACAATAATAATGAAACTTCTGTAATATGAGAGGGTGCACAGGCTGACTATCATGCCTAAGAGCAAATTCATCTTGAAACTTGAAAGGTTTGCTAGTCTCACAAGATCCCTTTAGTTACACCAGTCAAGACATACTATAGGCCTATTTTTCCACAGGCAACACGTTCAAAGATGCACAGCATCCAACATCAGATGCTCTTTTGCGGGTAATGTGAAGTTGCTCTCCATTCATATTGGAATATCGTTGAATGAGGCAAGTTGTATAGTTTTGTGTGCTGCATTAGAGTAGAAAAGCGCTGTGTAAAAACTGGTCCATTCATCATTGGCTAATGAGTTATCAGTTAAAAGTCATTTGCCAGTAAGTGTGTGGTTTCCCAGTCAGGCCTACCCCTCCTTATCACATCTCATCTTTCCAACTAAATTCCAGGCTTTAAAACAAAATTTCAGAAATTAACAGGTGACATAATTTGATGCTATATCGCCAAAGAAAAAAATAGTTACTCTCAATCGTTTCATATTTATCATAACGTCCTAAATCGTAATTTGCTTAGATAAGTAGCAATAGGAATAATATTGTTTTAAAAATTTTCCACCTTTTTTAAATCTTTTTTTCTGCAATTAGCAGGCACCGCTGTGATGCCTGCCAAATGCTGCAGTGGGCTCCTGACAGCCTTGTGTTCAGATTACACTTCCAAAACTATTAAAGGCATTACAAAGGGCCACAATTTTATGGATTATAATGAAATGAAAGATGAAAATTGTTTCCCAAAACAAAGCTAAGGAGAAAGTGACCAAGATGTACAAACACGAACACCAACAAAGACGAATCTTGTAATTCTGAAGATGAGAAGAGTTTCTGTCACTGACAAAAAAAAATTGTTCCACTTTTGTGGGTGTACAGAACCTTTAATGTAAGCATGAGTTTTAAAAAGCATTATAAGAATAATGTTGTGCAGCGAATTTGCTCTGCATTTGTAAACTACTAACCTTGTTGAAGGGTCTGCTTACCAAACTATATCTCACTAAAAACATTTCATATGTTTAATCGGTAAAAATAAAAATCTGTGATAACTCCATTTGTTGCGTGTTTATTCTCTTGTTCAGTCTGAAAAGTCAGAAAGAGGCAACAGAAAAGAAGACCAGACACCAGCGAGGGAGGATAAGAAGGACAGACGCAACAACATTGTCATCCCCTATGTAGCCGGTGTATCAGAGAAACTCAGGAGAGTTTTCTCCAAGCATGACATCCCGGTGCATTTCAGACCCAGCAACACGCTCAGACAAAAACTGGTTCACCCGAAAGACAAAACTCCAAAACACAGACTTAACAATGTGGTGTATGCTGTACAGTGCAGCGAGGAATGCCCAGACCTCTACATTGGAGAGACCAAACAGCCACTTCACAAGCGCATGGCACAACACAGAAGAGCCACCTCCACAGGACAAGACTCAGCAGTCCATCTGCATCTTAAGGATAAAGGACACTCTTTCGAGGATGCCAATGTTCACATTTTGGACAGAGAGGACAGATGGTTTTGGTTACGACGACACAAAACCATCTATGTCCACTGTGAGCGACCATCTTTGAACAGAGGCGGGTTTACGACACCAACTCTCTGCCATCTATAATCCAGTTTTGAGATCCCTTCCCAGACGCCTTAACGCCCACTCACATCCTGGGCCATCTGACCTCAGGAATTCGCATGATAAGGTGGGGCCAGGTTTCACAATGAACACACCCGAAACTCTGGCTGATTGGGACCCACACCCAGTTTCCCACCTTGGCTCAGGCGATTAGAGGATCATCAGGGGGTCCTTTTGTCCCTCTGTGGGGGGTCACTCCCACTAGGTTTATATCTGGGACTCTCCACCATTTGACCTTAGAACTGAAGAAGCTTCTCGGATGAGAGGTGAAACGTCTTCAAGTAACTTAAAGAAGTCCAGACGCTTTTCTTTGCAAGCTCCTTTGACTACGATGACCTGGATGACTGAGAACCTTCACAGACATATTCACGTAAACTAAATTCATGGAAAGCTAAATGTTGGACGTACATTCCTATACTTCTTGGAAAAAGTGAAGTTACATACTTGTATACAATACTGAGAACATGAGTTTGTACCATTATATTGCAAGATTACCTCCCAGCTGTGATGGTATCCTGTCCAGTGTGATGTGCCACAGTCTGTCCTTCTCGTACAGTCACGCCCCTGGAGTCAATCTCAAAATGATGGTCAGTTTGGAAGTGTATAAAAATACTGTTGAAGCCTCCATTCACAACTGAATCAAGCTCACCATTCACAAACAGCTCTGGAACAAAAGAGAAATGCAGCTCTTAACACACTTCACAAATTGGGGATTATATTAAAATGCTAATGAGAAATTAGAATAGTAAGATTTTATTATGCATGAAAAGAAAAAATATATCAGGGTTCATTAAATTAGGAAAAATTAACACTACTGACCCTCACTGGGATGGTGAAGTAGTTTAAGTTGTAGTGAGCCACTGACATCAAAGCACAATGGAACAGTCTGATTCTCAGTGTTTATTAAAAACCTGTGAAGAAGAGGAACTAGATACACATAGACACACTGAGTCAGTATATAGAAACTCTGTTCCTCAAAATAAAAAGCTTAACATTCAACACCAACTTTACTGTTTTCACATATTAGTCACTTTACTTCTTTTGGGTAGTAAACATTGAAAAAACAAATTCAGGTTTTTTTAACATGGAAATTAATTTTTATAAATCTATAAAAGAACAACACCTCATGCCACAGATACACAGTTTTAGAAAATAGACTAAATACAAATCATTTTCTTTGTTTAAGTAATCATGTGAGGAAGTATCGTGATGATATGTTTTTGTTTACATTTTAACCTGTAAATGCCATTTACAAAATCCTCTCTGAGGATCTATCTTTATACTATCAATAAAATACAATACCATCAGTTGCCTGTGGGACAGCTATAGAGAGGAACGGGAACACATGGACACGGGGAGCAGGAGCTACAAACAAATTTAGACAATAGTTACGCACAGTAATATTGCAAAGCTCTGATGGATATTGTATGACTTTGGACAAAACATGTATGTTCTTATATTAAACATCAAGCAAAAAAAAATACACACTTTGTTCTATGGCAAATATTTACATTAACAAAAACAATTTCCTTTGTTTAAGTCAGTGGTGTCCAAATCCAGGCCTCAAGGGCTGGTGTCTTGCAGGGTTTAGATGTGTCCTTGATCTGACACAGCTGATTTAAGTCCTCAACATGTCTTGAAGTTCAGGTGTGTAGACCCAGGGTGAGATCTAAAACCTGCAGGACACCGGCCCTCAAAGCCTGAAGTTGGCCAAGCCTGCTTTAAGTCATCAGTTGGGGAAGTATCATGAGTTTAACCTGGAGATGCCATGTATAAAATCCCCTGTAAAATCTTTAATTCTATCAAAAGAAAAAAGAAAGTATGCCATCCATGCAATACTATACCTTTAGGTGCCAGTGGAAAATGACTAGAAGTGTCTAGAAGTCCACTCCTGAGTGTAACTACAAAAAAATTCAGACAACATTAGTTACGCACAAGAATTTTGCAAAGCTCTGGTGAATTTTGTATAACTTCAGACATCACTGTTTTCATATTCAACCTCAAACAAAATACACACTTAATGTGATTCTAATAATTTCTATTATTTGATAACATCTTGTAATTGCTCTATATAGCTGAAAATTAAGATGTGCACACACAAAAAAGAGAAATGAAAGAAGTAAGGAGTGAATTTTAATTGAAGGAGCCAGACATATAGTTTGGACCTCTAAAACATAAAAAGGAAAAAAAGTCATATAAATCCTATTCATATGAAAGACACGTCTTGTATTTTCAGTATGTCATCCATGCAATACTATACCACGAGAGTTTTTCTTTAAAACACGAACAGGGGCCTGATGCCTGGGGGGTTTAACAGGAGCATGTTTGAACTTGACCATAGCAGTACCTACAAAAAAATTCAGACAACATTAGTTACATACAAGAATATCACAAAAGTCTGGTGAATACCGTATGGCTTCAGACAATACATCACTAAAAGCTCAAAAGGAAAAATAATAATAATAAAAACCAAATCGTGTAAAAAAGAACAAAAAAAAAACTTCTTGTATTTTCAATATACCATCCATGCAATACAATGTAAAAATACGCTTTATACCATGAACAGGAACATGTTGGATCCTGGTCCTGCGGTTAACAGGAACTACAAAAAAATCAGACAAGAATATTGCAAAGTTCTGGCAAATATTGTATGATTTCAGGCAAGGCATCACTATTCTCATATTTAATCACCAACAAAACACTAAATAGAAACTTTACTTGTAATAATTTCTATTATTACAAGTAATAATAAAAATTAATAATTTATATTATTACATAACTGTTTAGTTTTCAATTTTTCTACATTTTCTAGTAGTTAAATTATAAATACTCAATGGTTCTCTTTTATGTGACAGAGAAACAACAAATAATTAAGTGAATTGATCCAAATTAAATACTTGAATTTTAATAATCTTTTAATAACCTCCAGTGAAATGCCTTCTCTGTGGTGTTTCACCTTCCTTGGGTTTATGAAGCACATCTGTGTTCTCTCCGGGAGGCTTTGTAACCACCATGGATGTGAGAGGGGTCACAAAACTGTACCTCAGTGATAGCTCCAAAGCCTCCTTCTTCACTTTCTCTTTCTCAGTTTCAGATAACTGAAGCCTGTGTCACAAAGGATTAAACGAATAAGGGGTTTGACACAGAAATCAAATGTAATTAAGTAATTAAAAAAAAAATGTTTCCATGTCCAAAGATAATCCAGTATTTTGAAAATATTGATATAGGGTTACAAACCTGAAAGGCTGTTTGAATTATGAACATGGATAAATTAATATACTACTTCCTTCAAGAAGGATTTGCAGCTGTATCGCAACAGCTGTGACACCCCAGAGTTAAAGAAATAAATTTACTTTGGAAACCAGCCTTTAGTCCAGCGTCAACCGGTTAAAAAGTACACAAATAAATTAAATAGAATATGGTGGTAAGATTGTTACCATCTCATATCACCATTAAAACTGGAAACTGTGCAGTATTTTCCTAACAAATATATAAAGGTGTGTAAAACAGAATCTTTTGGGCCTTGGACTGAACGAACCATTTCTTCTTCAGGCTCAGGTAAATTATGATGAGCCTTACCCGAAATCTCAGCTTTGCTGTGCCAATCAACAACTACCCTTTAAAATAAGCTCATCACTTGAAAAGAAAAAAAGTGGAAAGATGTTGTAAGTCAAACTCACTCTTTGTCCAGAAGCTGTTTAACTGTGAGGTACGCCCAAACCCTCTGGATACGGTCATCAGACACTGTTCCAGTGGATTCCACAGTTTCATTTGGATTAGAGAATATTATTCTTCTATTACTCTGTAATAATTTAAATGCAATGTAATGTCAGTCAACAGGGAAAACGGTTTAAGAAGAGTACTCCTGATGAGTCCTGTGGATTGATTCTTACTGAAATGGCCACAACTTGAGGGGTGAAGGTTTCAATATTATTATCTGTGATCTGTCCGGCCACCACAATCTCAGAACCATTATAATACTGACTGAAGTTAGTCTGGGTTAGATTGGTCCCACCCACATAGATCATTGTCACATCTGTCAGTAGAGGTGTGGCCACCTCTTCATAGAAACCCTGTTGACATACAGTGTGGAAGTGATACAAATCATGCTTTTTTCTTCTTTCAATTCTCAGGGGTTTCAAACCACATAAAAGAAGAGCATGCATAATTTAAATACCTTCAGCTGTAAATCAGCATCAGAGTCTTCATATATCCGCCGTGCCACACCGTTATTTTGCAGCGACATTTTCTCAAGGAAATTAAAATTAACATCAAAACCGAAACCGAGACAGTACAGTGGGAATTTGCCTGCAATAGCCTGTCTTACATTTGACTGGATTTTCTCCAGATTTGTCACCCCTGAAAAGAGACGAGACATACCCAGTTCAGCTCAGAAACAATGTAGTCTCATAATTCATAATAAATCAGGACTTTTAACCACAATAAGCTCATAAAGATCTCAGTTTCATGAAATATTTGTGTACATTTGTTTACAGATGTGTTTTATTACAACCTGAGGTTGGGTCTCCATCTGTGAGAAGTATAAGGATAGATGCTGAACCTTCTCTGTTATGTGCATTCAGCATACGTGCTCCTTGCACACTGCTTCATTTATGTTTGTGTCTGAAATGCAACAACAACAAATGCATTTTCAGTACTGCTATTCTCCTCCCAACTGTTGATATTCCAAAATGTGTATTTACTGCAACTTCTCACATCCTCTGTCTTGTATATTTTGTGCAAAGTTTTTGGCACTTTCCAGGTTTTTGCTGTTGGCCTGAACGAGTTCTCGCTTCCAGTAAGAAATTCTGTCATCAAAAGTGATCAGACCAAAGTGATCATCTTCTGCCAGATCATTCAGAATGTGGATTAATGCGGTCCTAGTCTGGTTAAGAAAACATAATTCATGGCTACATATTGTTTTTCTTTTCATTAAAAATGTAAAAAAAGAGAAAAAAATGTATAAAATCATATCAGAAACTGACCCTTCAAATACTTTACCTGCTCAATTTTCCGGCCCTCCATTGAGCCACTTTGATCAATAACAAAGACGACATTTTTTGGTATCCGTGGAAGATCAGATGGTGCAAAATGATGAACAAAGTACCCGTCAGATTTCTAAGGCGGCGTTATGAAAAAAAACAAAAAACAAAACTTGATTGGTTATAGGATTATTCAAGAAGCTTTTTAGCCCAAGTCATACGGTTTGTGTTGCTAAAAGACCAGGGTTTACCTTGATGTGTCCCAGTCCATTATCCCTGTTAACATCATAAACTATAACCAGATCTCCATTCATACCCTGATCTCCACAGCTGTCACACATTTTCTGTTGGTCGACTGTTGGATAGAAATACACCCACGCCTGGAAACAGAGTGAATCACAGAGTTTAGGAACTTGGTAGAGAGCGATGTCAGTGATTTTATTTTCTGTATACATGGTCTGCTGAAAATGTAAATGCAAACAGAATTAAATGATTAGTAAACTACTGAAATTATGTTTTTGAATTGTGAATTTGTGAATTATAAGGACCCAAGATGCAGCAGCAGTGGTGCAAGTGACTTTATTTACCAACAGTGGATACAACAGAGATGGCGAGGGTGAAACATGAAACTAAGAAAACCTAAACTGGAAAAACTAACTGAAACTAACCGGAAAGAGATATGCAGGGAGGCACAGGAAAATACACAGGAAGACGGACGGAGAGAAGCAGACGACCCAGCAACGAGGACGAGGGAACACACACTTACACACACCAGTAATCAGGGCATGGGAAACAGGAGGGAAACACACTTGGGAGACATAACTGCTGACGAGGCAGGGGAAACGTAAACAGAACACACTGACATCAGACAGAGACCTTCAAAGTAAAACAGGAAACACACCGACTGAACACGACACACACCAACTAAACACAGACTGGAGGACACTGACATAGGAACATGAAATGTGAAACAGAAGAGTACAAAAACCCAAGATAACCAAAACCACAGAATAATAATAAACTTAACATAAACACGGAGTCACAGACTCCGGACCATGACAATATGTATTTGAACCACTGCATCGTGAATACTTCAGAAAACCAAAAACACTTCACTGCTGCAAAGACAAATGTGGGTTAAAACTTAGCCATGTACAGAAAAAACATATTAAGAAGATTTAGAAACCAGCCTCTTTTCTAGTCTCTTTGGGCTGTTTTTTCTCTGCTTTGTGTTCATCTGTAAACACTAAAAGCAAGACTGTCTTCATCCGCAATATGATAGGGATCTGTGTTTGTGTGTGGGGCTGTAGCCTCAGGTTTCTGTTGTTTTCTGGTAATTATGTAACTGTTTCAGGTCATTTTATGGAGTGATGATAACGTAATTTAACAAGTAATGTAACAAGTAATGTAACAAATTACCTTCTCCTGCAAGTAAGAAAGTAATGTTCTACATTACTGTTTTTTTGTTAAGTATTGTGTGATAGTTGATTTTTCTTGAGTAATGACCCAAACACTGGTGCTGACAGCATTTTTCTAGTCCAATCATTTTCTTCCAAACCTTTTATGAACCAATCAGACTTTGTTTGGTGTGTTTTAAAATCTCAGTTCTCTTCTGCCATTCATTCATCCAGCCTGTCTCATCACCATGTCCACCTCCGACTGATCATTCAGAGGCGCATCCATGTTTCCACCTTCACCTTCACTGGCATCTAGAATCCATGGGGATCCTGCCCTTATGCCTATCATTGCTGGGACCTCATTCTACTATGATGGTTCATCAGAATCTAATCGCCAAATAACTATTAATCCAATTCTGTATCTCATGTAAATTCTGTAAATCATGTTCAGTTCTTCCAAGTGATCTCTAGTTAATAAACTGCTGTAGGATTTTTACGATTTGGAAGCACGATGTGCTGCCATCTACATTACGCCAGACATCAGAACTTTGCTAGCATTTGTGTTGTGTACAAGGATGAGAAATTAGCCATAATGTTGGAAGAAATATCATTGTTACCATAATGGTTATTTGTGCATTTTACTCATTTTATAGTCATTCATTTTACACTGAGATCAAGCTCCCTCTTACTGCAAATGAATAACAACCTGTTAGTACCTCAAACTGTCTCTTGTTAGAGAGCTCGTGTTTTTTTTACTGTTCTGCAACAAAAAAGATTTCAGTACCTGTTTATCTGCATGTGTTTTGGTGATGGCATTAGCGAGGGCATTGGTGCTCAGGCCTCCTTTCACATTGATGAAACTGATGCCAGCTTCCTCGTGAATGTACACATCCACCTGGTAATAAATACAATATAATAAAAATAAAAGATCTCATCATGTGTGCTGTTATCTCAGCATTTTTCACTAATAGATACCAATAAGACAGTCACCTTGAAGTCTCTGACAGGCTGTGTGGGTCGAGCATGAATTTGCAGCTCATACTTGCCATGTGTGCGTTTCATTAATTCCTCATATGTGAGTTCAAAAGTGACCTTTTTGTGAGCAGCCACAGTTACAGAGGTCTTAAATTCCTCCAGTGTCCTCCCTACAGAACTAAAGCAGAAAAAAATTATCTCACTAAATTGCGATTATGGCTGTAGTTTGGACCTGAGCAGAGAATAAGGTTAACTCTAAATATATTTTCCTATTCGCATTAACATTATTTTAGAGAAATGAAGAAAGAAGAGAAAACACAAGAACAGACCAAACTAATTTTGAATGACAGAAATATTTTCTTCTTCTTTATCCAAAGGAACACTCAGTGTATTTGTACAATACCTATCATTTAATCATTTAGTTAATACCTGACAAGTCCAGCACTTTCACCACGGGACACAGCTTCAGTGTACTGCTGCTGAGCTTGCTCCTTAGCTTTCACAACACCATCATAAACCTGGCCATCGATAAACCTGAAAAGGACCAAGAAAAGCCCTTGTGTAAATGCACACACTACTGAGTATCCTGTCATTTATTCTTCACTGTAGAATTCATTATTTGCAAATGTCTCTGGATGGTTACACATTATTTTAACTTCACACACATTCGAAATTTACTGATGAAGGCATTCTTGGGAATCTGAACATGAAATTCAATTTCCTTTGACTCGTTCATACGATTGGCCACACGGCTTGTGATGACAGTGGTGGCATAACGACTGGTCACTGTGGAGTTGATGTGAAAGCTGTAGATGTCCCAGTCATCCTGAGCAAACACAGGGGGCACATTTCACCGAAAACATAATGGTTAACTGAGCTTAGCAGCTGACCAAAGGTCAAATTTAGCAGAAAAATAATTTGTTTTTGGATGATATCATCGCCATGAGGGAAATAGATACACATCCACACCATAAATGTGACTGGTTATGTGCTGAAAAACATCAACACATGGAAATAAATGAATTAATAGAATCACCAGCTGACACACTGCAGCTGCTGGGTGCAATAAATTATCAAATATTTATTGCAACCTGATAAATGCCAACAGCTCACCAGGATGCAGTAAATACATGGAAACAGAGTTTTACACTGTGCTATGTGTTGATTTTTGCTTTGTTTTGTTTTGTTTTTGTGGATGATGATAAATCGCTTAATCTAGCACTAACCATCACTGTTATTAAATGTATATCTTTAAACATTAAAATGAGCTAATAGACTACTTTATACTCTGACTCTAGACAAAGGATACAGTAAACATGCACACATTCAGGATTTCTTCACTTCAGGTGTCATTACATTATCTTCTATCTGTTACTTAAAGGCTTAAGCTTATTCCAGTCCTTATGTTAAATTATTATCATGTAATAGGACCAACATGAAGTAACCCTGGAGGAAGAAGTCAAAAGGACCTTCACCCTGCAAAGTTCAGTGTATTTCACCTGACTGAAAGACACCAAGAGAGATAAAAATCAATGTACCTCATAAATCTCTTGTTATCTGTGAAGTATAAATAGCACTTTTTAAGGATTTTGTTACATTGAAATACTGTTGCTGCCCTTTGTGTGTACTGAACTTACCTTGTTTGGCTGTGTGGAAGCCAAAGCCAGCAGGAATATGACGAAGGTGATTTGCACCACGGTTCTCCCCATGACGCCTCCAACCAAAATGCCAGCAAAACAGCCAAAACACTCTTTTGAACTCAAACAAGGACAGCGTTATTGTGTACCTATTTTTTTAAAGTTCAAACTCTGTTTTCCCTATCTCCAGTTTCAACAACTGTCTGTGACAAAAACACCCACTCGCATAAGTAAATCAGTAATTTACCAGAAGTCCAGCAGTTTCTGTGGGAGTTCATGTTTACATTGAGGGTCAAACCTTTGCACTTTACCAGGACTTTGGTCCCACAGCTGTCTTTTCATTAGTGACAGGAAATTCTGTTTCCTGTCTTGGCAATAATTTGTCTTTCCATTACTAGTGACTGTAACTAATAATGTTTTGTTTAGGGCAAAAAAAATATTTATGACTTAAAGTATGTAGTTGAGACTGTGCCATTCTGAAACCATCTGAAAGGTGCTGGGAAAAACAGCCTTGAAGGTTTCATTGCAAGCATTAGATAAAGCATTCATCACTGGCATGAATATCATGGTTATTTGGGGCTTTTAATGATTTACTTGAAAAGTTCTTTTTCCAAGGTTGAATACAGCATTCATCTTTAACGACTTTAAAAAGCATGAATTGGATTATTTTTTAAATTTATTTTAAATTTTATCTAATCCACACAGTGTCAAATCTATACATACACCATCATTAATATTTGGTTTAAAGTCGTTTCGCAAATTGAACCCAAGCCAAATGTTTTTGGTAGCAATTAACAAGCTTCTGGCATAATTTGGCTGGATATTTAACCACTCTTCTTGGCATAATTGGCATAACTGAGTTCATTTAAATTAGTTTCTTTGCATAGAGCCAGCTTTTAAGTGTTGTCCACATAGGATTAAGGCTGAAGCTTTGGCCATTGCAGATGTTTGCTTTCTTTATCCAAAACTGTAATTGGCGTGTGCTTCAGATTAGCATTCTGTTGGAACACCCAGCTGTGTCCAAATCACCTCCAAGTCAACATATGTGGAGTCCTCCTGCTCCTGCTTCATTATTTCATCCACCTTGTGCAGTGTTGCAGTACCACTAGCAACAAAACAGCTCCAGACCACGACACTACCACCACCATGCTTGACTGCGGGTACAGAGTTTTCAGGTTTCTTAGCCTCACCTTTACTCCTCCAAACATACCTCTTGTCATTGTGGCCAAGTAGCTCAATCTTTTCTCCATCTGTCCAAAACATTTTTTCTAGAAGCCAGTTTGCTTGCCCATGTGGGCAGCTGCAGGTTTCAATCAATATTAAATCTGTGGAATTTGGAGCAGGGGTTTCTTTCTTGGTCAACATGTCTTGGTCGATGATGAAACCAGTTTCCAGTTCATAGCGTACTTGAACATTGGTAGATCCAGTGTTGTTCCTGAACATCACTAATTTCCTCACATCTGAGGGTGGCTGCTGGCCTTATTTAAGACCTTGGCAATGTGGTGACACATCCACATTGACTTGTGTATATACACAACTGTTTAAACTAACAATCTTGGAATCTCCAGTTATTTAGAAATGCTTCCAAGACACCTTGACAATTTGTGTAATTCTGGAGTTCTACTTTTTAGATTTCCTTGGACAATAATAATAATAACAATAATGGATTGCATTTATATAGCGCTTTTTGGGGCCCTCAAAGCGCTTTACAATTCCATTATTCATTCACACACTGGTGGAGGCAAGCTACAGTTGTAGCCACAGCTGCCTTGGGGCAGACTGACAGAGGCGGTAGGTGAAGTGTCTTGCCCAAGGACACAACGACTGAGACTGTCCGAGCCAGGGCTCAAACCGGCAACCTTCCGGTTACAAGACGAAATGCCAACTCTTTGAGCCACAATCAAGATCAGGATGATCTTCAAACTGCAGTGTCAAGTGTATTATGCTTGACAGAAAGATACTAATACACAAAAACTTTAAGTAAACACCTCAGAAATCTCCTATTATTAGTGAAATACAAATACCAGTGGTGAAATGTGGATTTTAACATAGATTTTAGCCTCTGTTTGGTGAAATATAGAGTGATAACTTTCCCAGAACTGCATTTGCAAAACTGTCTTTTCATTTGTAATAAGCAATACTGTTTTGGCGAATTAGAGTGGAGAAGAGTAAAGACCCAGAGACAATTTGGCTTGTGACTACTAATGAAAGCAGTATGTGACTAATATTGTGTGGTGTCAAGCAAAAATGAATTTATTTATGTCTTCAAGTATGTACAGCTTTTTTTTGAGAAGGTATCAATCTGACAAGGTCAGGAAACTGCTGGGAAAACAGGTGATATAGCAGGCAAAAGCAATCATACATCTAGCTGTCATTGCAAGCATTAGATTTAAAGACAGAAGTTACAGTGGAAAGCACAAAGAAAACTACTGCATAGGAGATTAAAAAAAATATCTAGGTCATTATTAAAGATCTACCTTATAGACAAATAATCCATTTTCAATTACTCTCTAATGTGCAAAAGTGAAACAATTTTAAAGGGTCATGCCAATGATTTTACATTTAAGGTTCAGTTTATGATGTGTTATGCTCAGTCTGCGTAATGTGTTTTGTGAATTTGAAAATATTCTTTTAAAGGTTGAAAGATAACAACCCTGATGATGTAAAGATGCTAGTGTGTTGCATTATGGGAAATTTAGCGTCCTCTAATTCTGCAAATAGAAGATTTCTGTTTTGGTTCCCCAAAAGTGTTTATCGTGCCTTTACAGAACTGCTTGGCTTACCATACTGACTGTGTAGTTTTACACGGGGAAACAAGGGACCACATTTATAAAAGCAAGTGTTTTCTTAAGATGACTGTGCCATTTGCACTCAAAAATACACAAAATGACTTATGCAACCCCAGAACTCTTGTAAGGGAGTAAATGATTTATGCAAGAGATGTATTAAAGTATTGTTTTTGACTAAAATAGTGAAAGCACTATATTTTTTGGAAATCCTTGAATCATTTTAGCCTTAATACGTATAAGCATGAGCTAAAAGGCCAGCATCTAATAAATACAATTTTGAAAACCTACGCCTATTACGCAAACATCAAACAGTTGTGGCTTTTCGGTAATTCACATTCGTCATGTGCCCCCTTAATATTATCACATCAACAGCATTTATCAAACGACAACCATCCACACAGTAATCTCTTAAAAACCACAAGGCAACAATATGTAAAGCTACAGATTGCATTAGTAGAGGTATGGGATGATTATGATTTTGACTCGTGTTGAGTCCTTCAGCCCTCCTTATGTATGATTTCAATTACTTTCTCTGAACAACATCCACTCTAAACACAGAACACCACTCAGTGGGGATTCAGAGAACATCCGTGTGGTCATGCAGGCTGCTGTGCAGGTGCTAAAGCAATCCCACAAGAACATGACTTCAGTGAACAAGGAAACTTACACAAGTATATGCTAACCTAATTCAGCTTTGGATATTCATTAATCTTTTTACAATCTCTGATATTTAATGTACCGCAACACCGGATTGTAGTGTTTAGCTGTGTTTTGTTGCTAAATTAAACATGTTTTAATCCACATTCATTATTCAAATCACATAATTTACCTGTGAAGGTGAAAGCTTATATAGAATATCTAGAGTATGCTTTGAATCTAAATGCTTTTCTTCAAAAAACAGAAACTGCATTTCAAGGCACTCTCACAGGTGGGTTTTTTTTTCCACCTGAAGATAAAGTTCAAGTTCATTCAAATCTCTTAAGGATATTTCAAGCGCTTGTGCTGGAAGCATTTCATCGATGAAGAATGAAACCTATCCTTGGACTGAGAGAGAGTAAAGCGACTGGCCTTAGTGACCAGGATGTCAAGTCTTCACAGTGATGGCATGATGGTGGCAAATAAGGTGTTGCATTAAGACACGTAACTGCAGCACCAACCTACAGATTATCTAATGGTAACTGTACAAACACAGGAGCTATTTACAGACTGACGATAATTCATATATACACTCGGCAGCTTATATATATATGAGTGAGATGAGCAACACAAACATCAGCTGTTTAACTGAAAACACAATATGAATGAGAAATACAGTATGTACATTCAATGCACATACAGAAAAAGAAATCTGCACTTTAATGCACGATTCAGCTAATTACAAGTGGACTGCACTCAAGGATTATGCATTGTAATACGGACATGAGGTATGTTGATGCAAAATGACACAAATAACAAAAAGACTAAGGATGAGTATGTACATATGATTACATACGTGCTGGTTATATATATTTACACTATTATGTACAGATTGACTAGAACTACAATGAGATATATTTTTGGTAACGGAGTTGGAAGACACAATGCTACAGAGATTAAAGAGTCCTCGCCTTGGGGTCAGTTGGCTGATATGATGGTGCTGGAATGGAGCTGTGGGTATCCTGAGCTGAGGCCACAGCAGGAAAGGCAAAGACTCCTGGAGGAAGGGGAAAGAAAAACCCAGGCCACTGGCTAATAGAGAGAGGTGAGGGCAAGGCCCTGAATGGAGCAGGAGAGTGATGCTGATAAGAGGGATGTGCCCCCGCCGGCGGGGTGGCGATCATTGTTGACCCAGGGGCATCAGGCCAGGACAGTGGCAGACTACAGGCCTCTGGTCCTGAAGCTGTCCATGGCGATAACTAAAAGGGTTACATAGTTAAAAGCAAATAGTAAACATAGCACTTTTGCATATTAAAACAATAATAGCTACACTAACATGTAGACATGCAGGATACAGTACTGCAATACTAGCATGGCAATAACCTCTAGTAATGTTAACGAATGCCCCAGCATGCATTAGGAAATGAAATACAATAATCAAGTCAGAGTGCAAGTCATGATAAAATGAAAGCGTATTACTGTATTCTGTAATGAACTCTTCTAATTAATGAGTCCCTACAACATTAAGGCATTTTGAAGTTATAGCCATTAGAGTAGTTTTATACACTTCAGGCCTCATGATCTAAACACTGTATATTTGCAACATCTCTTTTATAGAATAGATAATAACCATAGCACTCACATCTGAAGCCCTAGCAAGCTGTTCACTTGTTTGAAGTGGATCCTGATCCCAAAGCTGGGGTCGAGTTATACTCAAAGAGTTAGTGCGAGGCCGGTGGGTGACAATCAGAACCTCCTGGGCCCAGTCATCCATTAGTCGTTGTAAGTCTTCAGGCAGGTTGCTATCATGGGCACTCGTAGATGTGCTACTGTATGTGCCTGTTTTGTTGTTGCTGTTATTGGCTTGAGCTTGGGCCAATCCTATCACCGGCTGATGTGGAGGAGGTGTGACACCCCCAGGCAGCTGCTGTGACTGATTGGAAGCCCCTGCTGAAGCTCCAGACCCTAAAAAAGACACACACACATATAAACACCTGGTTTAATACCCTGATTACAACATGAAACAAACAACTTGACTTATAGAAAAACTAATTCTTAATGAGACTGTAATTTTACATACTGCTACCACGCTCTTTACCAAGACAAAGTCGCTTCAGTGTCGCCCCTACAGAACAAAAAAAGATTAATGCAAATCGCTGCTTTCATCAGCAGGTTATAATGGTCAATAACGGGGAGCGGTGCAAAACAAAGCTACAGAGCACTGCAAAACAAGGGAATAAAGTCACACTAACAAATGGATAAACAAGGCAATCATTCCCCTTAAATGAGACAATCCGTATAGTTAGCAAATCATGCAGATGACCCATGTTTAAGGCATTACAAAGTGCAGGATATCAAAGTGACAGATAACAAACAGGTAATACAGGGTTAGAAAGAAGCATGACGAGAAAATCTATTGTAGTTTGGGATGCATGAGACATGCAAGAGTCTATTTCCTAGGAATACAAAGTTGATAAGTGCTTATTGCACACAGACAGAGAGCAGAAGAATTAGTGAGACACGTGAAACGTGAGGTAAAACTCAATACTTATAAAAATACGTTGAATAATAAATAAATAAAAACAGTTTTTAAACATGACTGATAGCTATTGGGTAAAATTCTCAGCTTCTCTTTCAGGGAATTTGTGTAAACTGCTGAATAAAATAAAATCATCTCTGAAATGAAATAATACAATAAAATACCAACTAATAACAATGAGGCAGGGAAAAAAATAGCACATAAAAAACCCTGTGAACTAAAAGGAGTTTTACTGAAAATATGGAAACCAGAAAATATGAAGCTATGCGGGAAGAGAAGAGATACAAACAGATAGATAAAGACACAGGCCCACTGAGAAATCTAGCTCGTGGCTTGCTACTCGATTTATAGGTCACTCTCTCAGATGGTTGAGGGTAATTAGACCAGCCTGTAGAGGAGCATAATCAAGGGGAAAAGACAACAGGGTAAGAAGAATAAACACTCCATTGCCAACATTATTAAACAAAGCAACAACACAAATAATGGTTTTATTAATACTCTTTTATTAATACTGTTGAATCAGGGTGTGTGGTACCTTGCCCCGGTGGCACTTGTGTGCCAGTTCCATCTCCGTGTAGTCCAGCATAAATATTATCAGAAGATAAAGAGCCTTTAAGGGAGCAGGGCTGCTGAGTCTGCACAGGCTCCGAGGTTGAGCTGGGAAGGTGGCTGGTGCATGACCGGGCCCTGCTGTGCGTGGGGAAAGACCCTTTAGCTGGAGACCCATTTAAACTAACTGTGTTGTCACCCGTACCTGCAGCAGCACCTAAAGACACACAAATGCAAGAGGATAACATCGATAAATAGTCTTTCAGTACATATTCTTAACTTTTAGTAGAATTTCTGCAAAGCCACTCACTGGATCTGCTAGAGTCACCAGTTTTGGTTGTGACATTTCTAAACTGTTGAACCAGAGGGCTGAGAAGTTTGCCTGGCTTCAGCCTGTGCTTGCTGGACCTCTTTCTACGGCTGGCATGTGGTGCAGCAACTCCCAGGCCAGGAGGAGGAACTTTACCAAGTCTTCGATACAGGAGCTCCACTTCCCCTCGCTGATGGGCCTGCAGCTCAGAGATTTCCTTCAGATGTCTGAGGAAACCCAGGAGAGAAAAATAATAATGACTTACAAGCTAAATGACAAAATATCTTCATATACAAACATGCTGCATGACAGAAAGCAAACCACAAGCGATGCTTACTTCTCCCTGAGTCTCTGTAGTTCTCTCTTTATGTCTGAATCCTCCATCTCGGAGTCATTATCGCTGCTGCCATAGGCAGAGCCGTGCACCCCACCATGCCTGCTCGGTGAGTCAGAGCTCTGCACGCTGCTGCTGCGACCAGAACGACGGAGAAAGGCCACTGCCCTTTTCATGAGGTCACTTCCTCTGCGCTCAGAGCGGGAGTGTTGCAACGGGGTGGCAGGAGTCAGCTTTGCAGGGCTGCTCTCTGCCCCTGAATCTGAGGAGAGGAAGCGAGCGTGGACCGTGACATCCACAGGGACGGATGTCATTGCACGAGGTAAAGAGCCCCGCTTGGCGTTAGAAGGAGGCGTGTCCAGATAGAAATCAGGCGGTGCAGAGTAACGGCTACAACGTGTCCTCTGTGTAATGTCATCTTCAGTGCTCACCACAGAGAAACGGCCAATTGTGGTGGAGGTAGCCATGGCATCAAACTGACCATGGTCCCTAATGTATCCCACAGGGTGCGCCGGTGAGGCAGCGCTGCTCCAGCTCCTTTGCTTCACATCTCGTCTGTTGGCCACTTCAGGGGCAACAGGAGTGATCTGCCAAAAGCACAGAAGAAGAATTCGTATGACATCATGAATGGTGTGAAAGAAGAAAATGGTGCTGAATACACAGCTCTACCTTCACTTTAAATGTGTGAACATACTCTAGAACATACCTTAAATCGACCTCTTGCTCCAGAGCATGAAGCAGAGTGAGGAACGTGTCTTCTTGACAGGGACGCTGGAAGGAAAATATCCACAATACTAAAACTGTAGCACTGCAGGAAGTAACTCGCATCTCATTTTACTTAGGAGATAATGATGCCGATTATGTTGCGATGTTTGACGTACCACACACAGCTGAATCACTCAGTGCGCTCAAACTGTCCATTCTCTCTGGAATTTGAGGCTTATAGAGGGCAGAGGATACAAACTATTACTCGTTGTCCTTTAAAATACTTGATGAGGAACAGCTAAATAATATTTGTCATTCTCTCTTAGATCAGTTTAGCTGTGCTCCTTTTCTTGAACTCCATTAAAACACTAAAATATATTAAACAGTTAAATTAATATTATTTGGATACAGTACAACACAGTACAAAACATACTTACCAGCTGTTCACCTCCTCTGTAGCGTCCCTCCCCTATTGGCCCTGGGGTGCTGTTTCCTGAGCCTCCTGTGGCGCTGTCTGGACCAGGAGGAGACTGGATGTACTCTGTGCCAGACCCTGGTGTCTCTGCAGCGCTGCCTGATGGATACATGGGAGCATACTCCTGGTAGAGCAAATTCCGTAGTTTCTCATCCAGGGTTTTAATGGTGCTGTCCACAAAGCCGCTACGAGCCAGTCTTCCTTCACCATCGGACTCACTGGGGCCTGCACCATGCTGGGATGGTGCTGGACTCTGTGGTAGTGAGGACACTTTGGTCCCTCCAACAGTGGCAAAAGGCTGATGCAGCACCACAGGTTGCTGTGGTCGCTCGCTCCGTGCAGCAGGGGCGTAGGAGACAGCCGGTGCTTCTTTGACTGATCCTGGCTCCTGGAGCGGAAGAGTAAGCGGAGATCCAACCTGTGAAGTGCTCACATCGAGAGAGAGGGGCATGACCAGAGGGCAGCAGGGCACGTCGTCAGCAATAGAAACCGGGCATGTCATATCAGGCAACTTCTGAGATGCATGGATTGGTGAGATGGAGCCGAGAGGGGATCCCTGCGAATCTTCCACAGGGAAAGCAGCATGCGGGGATGATGTTTGTGTTCTGGCTGTCTGGGCTTGCATGCTGTGTTGCATTGAACTGCCTGCTGGCTCCACTGATGGCACTGACTGGAGAGTCGGAGGTGCAGACACAGGAGGTGACAGGGTGGCCAGGAGGAGCGGGTCTGTGTTGGACATTATTGGAGGACTGCAGAATCCGTACACGTCGTAAGAGAAACCTCCACTTCCCCCAGACATTGTGGAAGATGAACCCTCTTCTGCAAAAGGTTTTTAAAAAGGTAGAATCAAAATTACACAGAATTATGATTTTTTTTTTTTAAAAAAGGTCTACTTTATTTATTGTGAAATCAGTTTTTGCCCATGTGAGCTGCAGGATGCCTGTCATTGTACTGCCACAAGGTGGTGCTCTTGCTCCTTGAAGCTGCTGGATATTATTGGAAAATTTGCAGTCACCTCTGGAGGGCTTTGCAGTGGTGCTGTCAGCAGGGTGCATAGCGGCTGAGCTCCCAGGTGACTGCGTAGTTGTCCCGTCAGAGGGGGTCTCCTGACTGGATGTAGGTATCTCCTCTACAGGGCAGATTATGAACCATCTCTTTCCTGTATGAAGAACTGGGAAGAATTTTTTTTCTTTTTAAAAGTTATAGTGACGAGGAAAAAGGATTTACCAGACATGCATATGGGTAAATGTTTTTCTAAGAAAAGTGTTATACCATTTTGCTGATAGACTGGTTGAGATCCTCCAGGCTGCTGACTCTACAAAGAAATGTACAGATGAAAGCTAAGTCAGTCTGCTAATTGCTAATTTCAAGCAATGAATGTATTTGTTTCTTACCTCGCCTACTAATGCTTCAAATGGCTGGACTTGTAAAGGACTGCAACTCAAAGCTGTGTCCCTTTCACCCTCCATGTCTTCATTCAGCATGTCTTCAGCTTTATCCACAATATCCTTCAGCTGGTCAATAAAGATTTCCTTCTCTAACATCAAGATGAAGCCATTCTCTACCTGTAGATATGCAGTTGTTAAGATGTTAAACAATAATGTAAATATTAAGAAATGATTAAACACAAAGTCTAGATTGTACAAGTCTGGATTAACCATGTAAGTAGCGATTTCCTCGGGAGCGTCTCCATCCAGATCAAATTTAAATGTCACCATTTTGTGGTTGTGAGTCTCCAGCTGGCATTCGACCATTTTATCACCAGTGTTGCAAACCTGTGGGAGCAGTGCTTACACTTTACAATCTGAAAAATAAAAGATTTCAAGAAACTGTACATTCTGACACCACGAATGTCACCAAGACTCACATTGAGCATGCTCAGCTTTGGTTTGCTGGTCTTTTCCTGCCTGGAACGGGTGCGGGCAGACTTGCGGTGATGTTTCCTCGGTTTCCCATCTCCCTTTCCCACACTAGCAAAGCTTTCATAGCCATCACTTGTTTCCTTACCAGATGGTATATCAGACTTGAGACTAAAACGGAAAAGAACATTTTAAGACAGTTTAGCAATTCACAGCCAAGTGGCACATTTTCCTCACACAAAATTGTAAAAACTACAGAATCTGAAAAGACATAAAATAGATTTTTTTTTTAAAAAAAATAACAGATACACACCTGTCAAATTCATAACTGGGTAAAGATATTGGTTTTTCCTGAAGCACCTCCTGAAAATAGAAAAATGGGAGTGTGAGTGACCTCGATGAAGGACCTATAATGGATCACTGGGGGACTAAGCCTTACTGTGGTTAATGTATAATGTAATATGGTTAATGTGTGTTGTTACTTCTCAGCATGTTAAACTAAGATTCAAAAGCTGGTGTCATGATGGGACTGATGTATAAAATTTATGTTAATATAATTTGAAATGAATCCTGCAGTTTGAATGTTCTTTCTGACCAGCGGATACTTTAATACAGTCATGTGAAAAAGAAAGTTTTTACAGAGCTACAGTATATTCAATGAGCCATCATTTGTGGAAGTAGTAATAATGTGAAGTAATTGGTTTCTGTATCCCTTGCTGAGGTTTGCTGGCATTCATTTATGCACAGCTCTCTTCAGGTCCTGCCACAGCATTTCAGTCAGGTTGAGGTCTGCACTTTGGACCACTGACACATCTTGTCTCTTTCAGCCATTCTGTTGTAGAATTGCTGCTGCATTTGGGATCAATTTCAGCCAGTTTTGAGCTGTCAGGCATATGGCTTCAAATGTGACTCTAGATTACTTTAATATACAGTGGAGTCCGTGGTCAACTCAATGAATGCTCTGGTTTTGTAGCTGCAAAACAAGCACGAATAATCACCCTCCTCCACCATGCTTGACACAGCTGCTATGAATTGCACTGATGTGCTGGCGTATTGTAATCTAAACGAACCTAAGCTGTGGAGCCATGTTCTTTCATGAACTTTAACACCTGACATGGTTAATAAGGCCTCTGGAGTCTGAGAAGCGTTTTTTTTTTTTCTTCTTCACAGTTTCTTGGAGCATTGTACGGTCTGATCTTGGGCTGAATTTTCAGAGATGTTAAAAACTGGTAAGACTGTGGCGTTGAGTTACCCCCACACCTAACTGCCTAAACCTCTGCTTTCACAAGTGCTGATGATCAGTTAATCAAGTTTTCTTTAGAAGCACCTGGCTGGTGTACTTACTTTTTCATGGATCTCCAAAGAGTTCTGTGAAGAACTTTCTTTTTCACATGACTTTATTTGTCATTTGCAGAGACAATTTTAATCAAGCACAGGTAAATCTTATAGAATTTACATAAGTGTATAAACTGGTATTGTTCTCAAATATTCACAGACATTGGATTCATCACTACCTCTGCACAGGGCTCTTGATGAGGGGTGCTGGATGCAGATGCCATGTCTGCAGTTTGCTGAGTTGCAGGCAGGCTGGAACACTCGGGTATTGAGACTGTTGTCTGGGTGCCAGGAGGCTGCAGAACTGGAGCTGGGACTGAAGTTGTGACAGAAGCTGGAGCGGGAACAGGAGCTGCAGACTGAACTGGTGCTGGCAGGGTGTTTGGGCCTGAAACCAAGCCTGGGACTGACATTTCGGGTTTGGATGAAAGTATGCTCACAGAGGAGACTTCTGTTTGCTCCAAAATGGGACCTGATGCTGATACTAGTGGTTGAGCTGGGACTGAGACTGCAGCTTGAATTGCTGTTGGAACTTGTATTGGGATTGAAGTGGGGGATTTAAGAAGGGTTGTGGTTTGAGGCATAGCTGCGGCCTGAGCTGATACTGGGACTTGAAGTTGGTTTTGTGCTCCCACCACAGCCAGAATTTGTGCTGGAGGTTGAGTATCAACATTAGCTGGGATTGGGATTGACGCTGGGGCTGGGACTGGGGCTGAAATTGTAGAAGCTCCTGCTAAGTCAAGGCCAGCTCCACTAGTTTCTGAATCTGTTCCCCTTCCCCAGAGAGAAGTCTGAACAGTAGGCAAAACTGAGTGAACCGCACCCAAATGCTGAAAGTCTCCCAGAGTGCCATGCGGAGTGAGTGACTGTATCTGAAAGAAAACAAGCACATTTAAAGAATTGTTCATCAGTTAGTTCAACTACTCTGTGTCTTTGAGTCGCTAAACCCATGCCCAGCAAGCATCACACCCATTCCACCTTAGCATTACAGATTTCCTATGATCCAACCAACCATTACAGTGAGAACTGAGTGAAATATTCACCTGGACAGGCTGCTCAGCCAGACCGTGCTCAGGATTGGGGGCAGGGTATGGGGTGGGTTGTACCTGAGAGAGAGGTAAGGGATGAGTGGAATGGAAACTTAGGTTTGGTTGAGATGTGGAGGGGCTGCCCTGCTGCTGTGGCACTGCTGAGGACACGGCCATGGCAAAAAATGGGAGGGGGAATGCCACACTGGCTACATGCTGAGGTGTGGACAGAGGAGTGCCAAGAGTAGACATAGATGGCATGGCAGAATGAGGAATCAGAGGCAGAGAGGGACGGTGGGGTGAACGTGAGTAATAGGTGCTAGACATAGTGGATTCACTGCTGCTGTAGACAGATGGCAGAGGAGCTGGGGAGACGGGGGAAGGCTTGTGGCCCCCTGTTTGAATAACTGCATATGGTGAGGAAAACTGGGAAAGAAAAAGGGAAAATGATATAAAATGAACAAAGATAACCAATAGAAATAACATTCACACAGGCCCCTTATTTATTACTCTACCCTGCCACCTATTATATCATTTTATAGGAAGATTTGTTGTTGTCTTCTCTATGCTAACACAACACACCTGCATGCTGATCTGCAGGGGTAGAAGTGGGGAAGGAGCACTGGAGACTAACTGTGGAAAACTGGTAGCGGTGTCAGGATGACTCAGGTGGGAAGCAGGCTGCTCTGCAGATAACAGCTAAGGAAGGAAATGACATGTTTGGGGTTTTGTCTTTCTTCTTTTCTTTTTTTACTTATTTAGTTTTTTTTACAGTATGAATCTGAAACTGAGAATCCAAACTAATAATTAAACAGTTTAACAGCTTCACTTTGTTACAAGTGAGCTGCAGGGCGGGCAGACTTGTGCTTCAGTTATTCTGCATGCTGCTCTACCTTTGGCAGGATAGCAGCTGGTTGGAGATGGTACTACAGTGAGGAGAGATAAATGTGAAGGAGACACAAACCACATGAACAGCTATTCACATCACACACATATACACAGATATACAGTACAGTGCACATTGGCTATTAAAGGGAAAATCAGATACACTTTTCACCCACCTCACACACAGCACTAGACCTACTTGACTTAAAATGGCCAGCACCACTAAATCAAATGGCAGATTAACTTCCATTATATTGCATGTTTCAGTTTATGATTTAAAAGTTGAAATTGTATTTTTTATATTGCATGTCAAATGACGAGACCCTGCTAGTCAAGTACGCTAGGACAGGCAGCTGGGTGGGCTCCAATGAGCGACTTTCAAACCGTCGCTTCATAATTCAGATTTTTGGGTCTCACTACAGATGTTGCCAGGGTATTTTAGAGTCAGATGTATGCAGTACCTGCTCCTGGTTGGGCTGGGCAGTGTTCTGTGTCTGTAGAGTTGGGCCTGCAGCTGGAAAGCACTGTCTGCTCTGGTTAGCAGCAGTGGCTGGCGTAGCTGGAGCTGTCTGTCAGAAACACATAATGGGAGACCTTCTTTAGGGATAGTAGAACTGTATAATATGTGTTTGTATTTAATACAACAAATGTGGCTCACACTTTAGTTTGTCAAAGCATTTGTGGTCACTTGCAAGAAAATGGAGAGGGGTGTTTTTTAGCAGCTGGAATTGTTCATCAAGGGCAGTTAAAATGGAAACGGGAAGCGGCAGCATTTATCTATCATTGCCCATCCAACATGTTAAGAGAAGCACTTTGAGCGAGTAATTCAGCACTTAATGTTGATTAAGCAGGAGCAAAAACAGGCTGCTAACATACTGGCCAGGGGAGAGAGGCAACTTGCAGGATCAGGAAAGATACAGCAGGCTGCTGCTATGGCATTTCAGGCTATGCAAAGTCTTCTTCTCTAACCCACCAGAGAATTGGCTCTGTCTTTGCTGTGATGTGATGATAACTGCAGGTTCCTAACCACATTTGGAGAACAGTAGAACGGAGCATCCAGGCTCTGGCTCTTGTCTTTATGCTCACGTACTGAAGAACAACAAACCCCAGTTTGGTTGTGTAGTGGATGATTAACACCTCTATCAGAGAGGGTGGGGGAGCTGGTCCTGCGACTGACAATGTGATGGAGACAGTAGTTGAGGAGCGTGAGATCTCCACCTTCATACAAACTCCGTGGGAACACATTTTGTGAAGGTGGAGAAAGATGTGAAGGAGAAGCTGCCACGACGGGCTGACAATTTGATGATGTGGTAGTGGGCAGAGAGGGAGGAGACCTTGGCTGATGAAGAGATGTGGGCGAGCTTGGCTTGGAGACTGGAGCAAACTGGGTGGATGTGGTGTCAGTGCGTTTGTGTGTGTGTCCCAGTGATCCACCTCCTTTTGTCCTGTCCTTGCAGAGGAGAGACATGCAAGCTTTGCAGTGATGGTGAGGCCCTGGGCTGCGTGGGACACATGGAGGCAGCTCTGCAGGAGGTTGTAAATTAAGGGGAAGGTGAGGTGAATCGAAATGACTTGCTGAGTCATGATGAGAGTGTTGATGGGGGAGCAAGAAAGGCGATAACAATGACGGCTTCTGGGCAGAGTTAGCATACAGGCAGTTTGTATCATGCACTCGACTCTCTGTGCTATTTGCCGGAGACACTTCCTGTAACGGACGCAAGCAGGGGAGTGGAGTTGTCTTAGTTAGCGCTTGCATCCTACACTGTACCATCTCAACCATTGAGGCGCTGCCACGCCTAAGACACATAGTACTTTCAGTGATGAGCAGGTTCTCATGGCAAACAAAGGGATCACTGTAGTGACGCTGATGACGTATCATTCCGAAAAAGAAAATAACATTTTCGTTATTTCAGAAAAATATCATTAAGGATATCAAAAAGAGAAAATGAAAATAACATGAAATGCTTTTACTCACTGTTTGACACTGATAAGGCCCCTGGTGCAGTTGTGATGCAGGTTGTTGAAAGGTCCCAGGGTGCAGCTGGCCTGCGGTTTGCTGGTACGCTCCTTGGTGTAACTGCACGGACTGTGCAGTGGACTGCTGGTAAGGCCCCTGGTGCAGCTGAGGGTCAGTCTGTGCAGGAGGACTGTAGATAATCTGAGTTGTGGTAACAGGTTCTTGAAGCGTTGGGTAGGGGCCATTCTGCTGATTGTTTAGCTCATCTAATTGCATGGTGGAGCTCACTCCACTGTCAGCTGTAATAAGAGAGCATGTAAAAGATTATGATTCACCATGATGCTTTTTGTCCATATGCAGGAAGGACAGACACTCAAAAAGAGAGATGGGGTGTGGGAGACAGTGGAGTAGAATCTTAATAAAATTCAAATGCTAAATGATGTCACGTAATTTGGCATCACTCAGACACTGCAGCAGCCATATGTCTGATTCTCGCTTAGGTTCACTGAAACTATTTTAGCAACAGTCTGTGTCGTGTGTTTTAACCAGTGTTTGATTTTGTTGACCAAGATGATAACAAATGCACAAGGAGAAAAACTATCATGACATGTGTTGATACTTTTGTCAGCACATTTCATATGAGCGAGATGAAGACGTTCTGGAAATACGAGATCCAAACAGAGCTAATTACGTTGTGTAGATAGGTAGGATCCAATCAGAAGTAATCTCCTTGTGCAGTAAGGTTAGATACACACATTTAATCTGAAAAACACGCAGGGAGGGCAGGCTCAGCTATGCTTTCTCACGATAACACAACAAAATATCTCTTAGCAGGAAAAGCAGCAGCATTTCATATTTGATGTCATGGAAAATAAAATGCTTTGTAAACCACGTGGAGCAACTCTCACTGGTAAAAACATGACAAACTTTTACACTTTATATTTTAGTGAACTGAATCACTTCAGATTTAGTTTGTGATGCTCTTGCGATATTGAATCAACTAAAACTAAAAGAGCTTAGATGTTTAAATTCTTAATAAAACTAAAAGTAAAACTGGTCAAAATTGGCTCTTAAAATCAACACTGGTTTTAACTTCAGGTTTTGTGTTAATGCACACATTCACATAATATTCTAATTCCAGTTTCTTACATGTGGTAGATGTGGCAGCGGGGATGGTGCAGATCAGAGTCTGCTGCTCTGACTCTTGGTCTTCATAATCTGTAGTAGCTAATGCAGCTCCCTGTGGCATCCCTGTACTGGGAACCTGCAGGAGGTTCTGCTGAGTTTTCTTCACGGGTGTCTCGCTGTTTCCATTTGGTGAGACAGTCCGCTCCCTCCTCCATTTGATTAGAGCTACACGATCTCTGATGGACTTCCCAACGATCTTCACATCACAATCCAGAAAGAAACCTGAATCCACCTATGGAGGCACAGGCAAGATACTCACTGCAGCTCAGAACTACCCATCCTGCATTAACAGAAGTTTGCATGAAGAGCAAAAGGTCAAGTGATCAGTTGCCCTAGTTCAGGAGCGTCAAACTCACTTTTTACACCAAGGGCATGTAAAGACTTTTAACTAAACAATTAATAATTACTGTTATGTAATATAAATGCCCAGATGGAGCTCTTTACCAACAGGAAAAACTCTAAAATTGATTAAAATACAATTGAAAATCGAAAATATATGCCCTCCTTTTCCCAAAGCTCTCTAGTGGGCCCGACTGTCTTTGCCGAGCTGATTCTTTCCCCCGTGCCTTATGTTTGACACCCCTGCTCTAGTGTCTATGTAGACATAGCCCTGTGGTATCTGAAGCACTTCGCAGTACTGCAAACCAGTAACGCACGCCTTACATCAGACCTACATCAGAAGATGTGTTCCAATGTAATGACTTCCATAACATTATTAGACACTTTGTATATCATTATGCTGATAGCCCAACTGCCTCATAACAGGAAATAACAGAAACTGAATTGAAATAGCAAACCACAAAAAAAACAAAACAAACAAAACTACTTTTGTTATGGTTAGAGTTTAAATTCATTTCCCCTCTATCAGTCCATAAACCTAATCTCACTGACTGGCTGTAGGAAGAAGCCAGAGTACCCAGACACAGAGAGAACTTACAAACTCTAGACAGAAAGGCTCCGGCCAGAAGATGGATTCAAACCCAGGTGTTTGTTGCGAGGCAACATTTTAACAGACACCAATAAGAAACATGAACTGGCAAAGCACTGAGAAACACTGCTTTTTGAAAAAAAAAATTTCCTTACCATTTCTTGGGCAACAACTTCTGGGACCTCATGCACCAAATCAAAGGTAAACTCAATGGCACCAGTGTCTTTGTATTTTCCCTTCAGTTTTTTAGGATCTTCGACCCACAGCTTCAGAGCGATGGATGCTTTTTTCCCATCATCTTCTTCATTGAGCTCCACCCTCACACCCGTGTCCTCTGCAAAGAAGGCGTGATTCAGGAGGTCCTTGATGGAGTACCTGCAAGAAATACACAAACACTACAGACCTGCACTACATGTCACTGGCACAGTAAAACACAGAGGAGCACAAACTATGTCAGAGTCAAATAGTGGTATTGACGTCTCTTTGCAGGAGGAGAAACAAAACAACGCAGTGCTAATATAAGAGTCAATCTCTACCCACACAACAATGCATCATAAGCCAGAGATAGAGGTTCTGGTCCAATTACCTTTCTTCCCATCTGTGACAGATGCACTCCCCGATTATTTCCTTAATTTCTGGGTCGCGGACTTTGCTGTAGCTGGCAGGTTTCACCCCCTAAAAAAATGTAATCCATGTCTTAGCTTACCAAATGACAGGTTTTAAACAGAAGTACTTGGAGAAATAACAGAAGAAACTTCTGTCTGCATTGTATAAAATCATTAAATACAGAGTCTGTTAAACACATTGTCTTTCAGACATATGAGCCCTGGGAATAAAGGTTTTCAAAAGAAATAGGACAGTTCTCATCTGCCAAATTAAAAGTGTCAGCATTAGCTACATTAGATAGATACTGTTGTCTATTATAACAGTAATTTAAGTAAATTAGTCCGAGGTTTGCCCATGCTCTCAGGGTCCTGTGTTCCAAGCGCTGCAGAACCAGCTAGATGCTTTATTTTTTTCTTCCAAGTTTGACCCTGAACACCACAAGAATACAACAGTGCATCCGTGCAGGCAAAAAAACTCCAACAAAATAAGCAAACCTACATGTAAATTTGACTGTCTTTTGATCACTGCAAATGTGCAGAACAAATCGGATATTGTGGCAGGCTTATAATGAACCCTTCATTCTAAATAAGAACCAAAAAATTGAGATATAGCTTGGTTTTGTTGTAATCATAGATTGAAAGTTATTATAGCAGTGGCAGGATTTGAACGTGAACTCACGCTGGTCACTTTGCGGTAGATCTGAGCAGCATTTTGACATTCAGAGTAGGGATATTCAGATGTTGCCATCTCCAGCATACACATCCCAAAGGCGTAGACATCCACGGCCTCGTCATAGTGCTCCTCATACATCTCTGGAGCCATGAACTCTGGAGTGCCTGGAAAATTAATGCAAGAGAAGATGATAAATTGCAAACTTACTGATGGTTTAATTGAACTCCAGTGGCATCAACAGCAGAAACTGATCAGGCCTGATAAATCGTGAAGAATTTTCTAAACATGACAGTAAAATATAGCAACTTTAAGGTGGTCAAAAAGCTCATAATAAGCCCAAACAGTCTCGGTAACTCTACACCAAGTAGGGTTAATGTTTTTTTAAAAGTGGCCAATGATTCAAAACACTCATTGTGTCACAGCTGGTCGGATCCAGTGACACATAGATGTTGAGCTTTTAATGTAATTCTACACTTCACAGAATTTTTTTGTTTTGTTACATAAAAAACATAACAGGCACAAAATCCCACACTTAGAAGGAACAAGTTCCCTTATTTTGGTTATGCAGTACACAGATTTACTGTTTTCGTTTACTCCCACCGTGATCGTCAGTGTCATTTTTGGTACTGAACAGCAACAAATAACCCGCTGACACATTTTAGTGTGGGATTGGTGAGTGCAGTGAAATATTTTGTCAAGGATAAAAACAGAGCCAAGAATTAAAAGCAAAACTAGAGCGAATGTTTGACTTTGATGCATCAGGTAAAATAATCTCGACCCCTAACGGTGTCTAACAGTGTCTGCACTGCGTTTAGTTTCTTTCTGCACTGTGAAAATTCCCAAATCATTAGAACAGCATTTTTTCCAACTGCATGGTAACTAACCAATAACACTTTTAGCAAAAGAGGCTCTCTTTAGAGTCGCCAGGCCCAGGTCTCCGATTTTGACAGAGCCCGTAGGACCAGTGATGAAGATGTTGTCACACTTAAGGTCTCTGTGGATGATCGGAGGAGTTCTAGTGTGGAGGAAGTGGAGGCCTTTGAGAATTTGTCTGCACCAGCTTCTAAGAACTTTAGGCTTCATGACCTTAAAGCGCTTCAGATACCTGTTGGAAGATAAAGAATGTATATATTATTGTGGTGATAGAGAATTTCCAGTTGACAACAAGTAAAAACTGGCTTTTCAAACATGCTGAATGATAGTTGCTGAAATCACATTTAGAGATCTATCCCCAAGTAACCTCTGCATTTATAAAATATATCCAGTTAGCTGTTCTTCTCTTGCTAATTGTTATAGCCTTCTCTAATGATTGTTCTTTTCTCAAACCAATTTCCTAATTGTGACTGCCTGAAAATCTTTTTCTATTCTGTCCTACCCTCTATTTGGTATTCATTTATTTTGCTAATTACACTTTACGAAGAAAATCCACCCCCTTATTCACATAAATATATCTTTCAGCTTTTGGTTGGATTTCAGCCGTAGAATGACTAAAATTATGCCATTCAACAGCTTTGGGGAGCAAATTAAAATATAGCAAAAAAGACAAACAAAGGTTATGACAGGAAATATTTTTCTTTTGCCGCTCACGTTTTAAGTGTTCCTGAGGTCATCAGCTCTGTCACCAGAACAATACACTTTTTCCCTTTGACGGGTGATTCCCAGAAGTCATAAAATCGCACAATGTTGGGATGCTGGAGAGCCTTTAGCATTTCTGCTTCCTCTTTGAATCTCTGTCTCTCTGCTTTGGACAGTTTCCGTTCCTGGAAAAATGAAGAAAGAAAATGTTTTGGTTTTTTTTTTTTTTTACTATTATTTATGCATCTACTTCTATAGAGTATAAAGAAAAAGTATTAGTCTCTCTGTCTCTCTGTCTTTCTCTACCCACCTCATTTCTTTATATTTTGCTTCCAACAAGCCAGACTTCTATCTTTTCAAAGTGGTCTCAAATAATAGTTCTCCACGTTTTCTGAGGGATTTTCAGCCCAGTCCTTTTTTCATAGGAATGTTTGCTTGTTTGTTTGTTAAGCCATGTAACACTGACCTATGAAGCATTTAATCATAAAAAGGCAACTCAGGGGACTAACTGGTAATGGGTCTACACATAGAAGACAACTTAGCAAAAAAACAATTTTAACTCGTATCTTTAGGCACTTTACTAGCAGCCTGGGACTGAAATACCTATTTTGGGCCCATTTCTTTAGTCAAATCTACAAAATAAATAACTAAAAAGATTGCCAAAGGTAACACAGTTTGACAGACAAAAAATAGTATCTTTTCTATTAGGTGAAAACTTTGCGTATCTCAGCATGTTGTGCAGTGTTTTCTTTACTTTACTTCACTGACAAGTGGAGAATAAAAGAAGTTGCAGGTCTCAAAACCTATCTGCAACAGATGAACAATGTCTGAAAGTCCTGTCTTTAAGAAATGGGGAAAAAAGGCAGCAAAGACCTGACACAGGCCCTGAGAGATGCATGTTCATTTGATTCATGGACTGTTCACAGATTCCTGAGCAAAAATGGCCTCAGTGGAAGGCCAGGAAATGGAGAGGAGAGGCCAGGAGAAAAGGCTGAGGTATGCCAAATTACACAAGAACTGATGAATGATGATGAAGAAGGAGAGCCATCTGTGAAACACAGTGGAGGCTCTGTTATGGTTTGGGGCTGCGTTTCAGCCAGTGGGGTTGGAGATCCTGTCAAAACTGATGGAATTTCTGTACCATCAGATTTTCTCCATCATGCAATATCACCTGGAATGCATCTGATTAGAAACAGCTTTAGTTTCAACATGACAACTATTTCTTTGAAAGCAAACACATATATAGAAATGCATATATTGAAGCAGTGTGGGATCGTGTTGACAGAGAACAGAACAAAAGGCAGAAACATCCAAAGAAGAGCTTTGAATGTCCTTCAAGAAGCCTGGAGAGCTATACCTAAAGACTGCTTAAAGAAAATACAAGAACACTTGCCTAATATAGTTCAGACAGTGCTGCAAAATAAAGGTGAACATACCAAACACTGACTTTCAAGCTCATTAGTTTTGTACAGCCTCTGTGTTTGCCTTCTATAATGTATTTCCACTTCTGTTTGCAAATGTTTCAACAAGTCGCTGCACCTGTTTCTCATTTAGGACAGATATGCATTCTTCTCAGTTAGAGATGGTAATGGAACAAATATGATTCCTTTGAATATTCCCATTGCTTTATGATGGGACTCTGCTGCCTGTGGCTCATGTTTATAGTGAAAGCAGCTTTGGCATTTTGAGTGGGTATACATGGGGTCTGAACCAATTACTCTCTTTATTACCACTGTGTAGAAAACACAAAGCACTACAGCATTCGTGAAATCACATTTTCAAAAGACAGATGAGTAGAAGTCTTGTTTAATCTGTTGCTGTGATACAGAGACAGACACATCTGTCATGGCAGATAAACGTGAGCTTTAATCACATTTTTAATCATAAATGTCAAACATGCCTCTGGTAAATAATGGAACAAAAAAAAATTCCATTAAGACATTATAACAGCGAGCTAGGATTTCTTTTTATTTTCCTTTCAATCACAAAGCCACAAAGCATAATGAAAATCCTTGATTTAGGAATTAAATTGCACAAATTTTGAATTTTACGTCTTTACTTATACAAGCCTGAGTGGGTTTGTGTATAATGGATCAATATTCTGTCCCCTTTCTTCCCTGAACTGTTGTATAAATAGTAAAACAGCTGACAGCAAACACCCTCCGCATTTCAGTTTCTCTCTTGTCAGCACAGCACATCCAACTCAAAGACTATGACAACGCCAAAAACTGCATGACCTCCAGGGTTTCTTTAGAGCCGTCTCCATAGACACGTTTCAGCAGAAACCATTCGGGTGCACTTGATGTTTCAAAGGCCAGGGGGTCCACAATAACCTGATGTACATTTCATGCTATTGATTATTGACAAATACCTGAGAATCAGATTTCCTGCAAAGCTCATAGTGATCTATACAGTGCTCAGTCTGAGGTGTCTTATATTACATGCAACACTGTGAAGGATACAGATCCGACTTTCTTTCATAACTCTGATTCTTATGGTGTACAAATATATTACAGTTTGCCTCATCCCCATATCTTCATTGTCCTTTTTTAAAAACAATTTTCATACAAATTATTAGAAGACGCTTTGAGGGATAAGATCTCAGCAGGGTGTGGCACCAGGATTGTCTTTACTGAGACATAATTGTGCACAATGAAAAACTAAATAATAAATAATATTAGAAATAAAATAGAATGTTGTGGACACAAATCTGGAAATAATATAAACATACAGAACTCTTGGTTTACTGTGTATCAAATACTTCGTATACTATAAGCTGTCCTTAGATGAACCCAGCCTTTCCCGTTTCTACTCTCATGGTGCAGAAGGCTGCATCAGCAAGACTCACTCTCCAGACACATCTGTGTGGTAACAGCACAAGGGTATAAATCGCTGTTTGATATTTATTACTAAGCCATCAGACAAAATGTACAACTGTGAGACACTTCTCAGTGTGGTAAAGTGCTTTGGCATTTTACTAAATTGTGTTAGGCAATTTGCTAATTTCGGCTAAACAACTCAGTCAGCAAACGTTTGATCGCATTTTTGCAGGCAAGTAAGTAGCAAAACTGGCAGCCTGGTTTGCTCAACACCAGGAAAAAAGCTCCACTTCAAATACAATTCATCTCTAATTCATTTCTGATTTCTATGAGCATCTATGTTTTCTGCTGTCTCATTCTTACTTCTACCTCCGTACGCACACAGTGTACAAACCACACAGGGCATCTGAGTTACAGCAGCTTTTTTTGTGAGTGAGCTACACAGACAGAGACACTCCGAAGGGCAAGGCCTCATCTCGAGGGACAGAATGGTTGAATCATCACTAGATCTCCCCTAAGAACCTGCTCAGACACCACGCAGATGCAAACACACACGCATAATGCACAAATACACTTACTGTAGAGCTCATCAAACGTGACACACATTCAAAAAGCACACTCTGCTGTGAAATCCAGTTAATTATGTGTTTAAGTGCTTAAAAATATGCCCAGTGGTTGGATTCTCTTCTAACAGACAAGAATGAGCACTGAAGATATGGATAGGTGTACTGTTGAGGATCAGAAAACCAAATGCAATAAAGTAATAAAGTTAATCTTAAACAGTAGTGACGCATTGTGGTACAGCCTTGGACAATCGCCGTTCTCACTATTCAAATGAGATGAAGACACGCTGAATGGGCTACATCAGAACTTCATTTTCATCTACTGAATGCAAATAGAAGCACAATGTAACTACCACTTAGTTCTTTGAACCTTACAGAACTAGGCTGTGATTTTTTCATTAGGGAGAAATTCAGTGATTTGTTGGGCCAGACTTGCTGAGATGCCTTCCTACACTTTCTGCAAGAGTATGAGGTGAAATGTTTTTCATCTTATATGAAATAATTGTAATTATGATCAGTTAAAGCACACAAAAGGTTTCTAAGATTACGATGAGATGGTGACTCATCATTTTGTGCACTGGCCCCAACGTCTAAGTCCGCGTATAACGTGAAAGCCAATTCAGTGACTAAGCATACACCAAGAAGTAGTAGCTATTTAAGTTTAATGAAAAAGATCTGCTGGGAAAAACAAAGACGCTTCTGCTTGTGTTTTGATGCAGAATGTCTTAATACTTAATTTTTAAAATTCTATTCTTATGCCTGCTCATAAATCTGCAGACTGAAAAAGCTTAGCACAATTTGAGCCCTTAAAGGGCAGCCACTGTCTACAGGTCTGTCTGCAGACTAATCTGTATATCACATGGGCAGCATCTAAACTAATCATTAGATTACCACATACACAGATTAGCGATACAGCAAGCTGTCACTCATATGAAACACTGCATCACCCCTTGCTAAAATATAGCCTATAAGCAAATCTGACTAATTAAAGTGCCATTTCAGTTCATCTGCTGACATGGCTGAGTAGGTACAGATGAAATTCAATTCACTTAAGAGTCAATAATGTGCGCAGGGGACAAGGAGGATGCAGATTTCCTTTAAATGACATCTTTGTAATCTACTGAATAGGAAATGTGCTGTTACTTCAACTTGGTTTGGAAATAGCAACATCTAGGCTAAGAATTATAAAAATAAAAGCTTGTAAACTGATTGCTGAATTTTAAAAAAGTGAAAAAGTGAAGTTTCTTGTAATACAGATAGATGTGTGCGTGTGTTCACACATAAATCCTGTCATATGTATTGTAAATGCTTGTAACTTCAGCTTGTTTAATCAATCCCAGCTATATACAGAACCATGGCTGTGACCTGGCTGAGCTAATGAAGGAAAGAACCAAAGGCAACAATGTAACACAGCATCCACTGACCCTGCCTGAGAGTTTGGTACATGACTGGCATGTATATGGGTATTTATGTGTAATATAAAGATCTTTGTTATTGTCTTGCTTTTTATTTTTAACCTTCAAATGAGCGAATGAAAAACAATCAATGATGCTGTAGAGCTCCTATAGTCAGCTAATTTGTGTTGGCTGATTGATGTTGGACCTCAGTGATTAGCGAACCCACCTGAAGCTCACACCAGGCCACTTCGACCCAGGTGTCGGTGTCGAGACCTTTATAGACAGTTTTGAAAGACCCTCTCCCCAGCTCGATGTCAAACTTGAGGAAGCGCCCTCCGGGCGAGGTGGCCACAGCCTTCATTCCGGGCTCCTCTTCGTTTTCGTCACTTCCTGCTTTACCTGTGACATCGGAGGGCACGACCTCTGCCTTGGGCTCGCTTTCGCTCCTGCCTCCCTTCTCCTCGTCCGCGTTCACGCTCTCTGTGGCCAGGTCTTTCAGGCCCACCTGGCTCTCCGTGCTCGAGGTCTCCTGGAGGCGGGTCGCGTGCAGAACCCGCGCCCGACTCCTGTCAACGATGGTTCGCAGGTCGATGTTGAGTGCCGGGCTGCTGTTGGCGAACTCCGGTGTGTCCACCGGCGGCTCTTCGGAGTCTGACAACCACTGGCTCCGCCGAATAAACCTGTGGCGGACCGGCACCTGGTAGTCTGTGGAGGGGTATGAGCTGGGGTCACTTGCTCCACGCAGGGCTGTGTTTTGTATGTTGACATTGTGGTCTGTACCATTCTCATACACAGGCCTGCAAGCATTTGCATTAATGTCCGAGTCCAGATTAGGTGCTGAGGAAAACGTGGATCCCAGTGGCGGATCTTTGCTTGAATCCACCGAATCCATCCCGGTTACGCTGTTAAACACTCACCGGCGACATTGTTTCTGGAGGATGATGAGCCGCTCTCTCGTAGCGGTGGAAGAGTTCGCTGCTTACCTGCAACACTCCAACACGGTGACGCAGTTCGCCAGTTTAGGGTGTATGGCCTTGGGTTTTTTGTTTGTTCGGGACACAAAACATCCCCCAAAAAATGTCCAGCGGGGAGGATGTTTGCTCCTTGCCACCTCACGCCCCGGTGGTCCACCTTGCTGCAGTACAGCACAGAGCAAGGCGACCTAAGCCTGGTGTCGCTGTCAGTTTAACCTATGAGCTCACGAAATCCGTTTCGACCACATTGCATAAGATCCTGCGCCTACTATAAAACTGTGATTTGTTCCGCAGACAAATAGCTGTTCTATAGGCCTACAGTGGACAGGCGGGGATGTTTAGACCGTGGCACGCACCGGCTCCTCCAAAGACACATCACGGGACAAGCAAGTGCGCGTCAGTCATCGAGACGGACTCCGGTGGATGCAAATATACAGCAGGTGTTCCGGGTGAAAGTGTGAATCAGCTCCGAGAAGTGTGACCTCAGCATAATTCCATCTATCCTCACACTCCGCATATACTTTTTCCTCTCCTGCGTCGTCCTGAAGCCGAGTGCAGGATGGACACAAGCGCTTATCAGATTATGCTCACTGCGGCACAGCTTGCCTCACGTCGTCGGAGCACACAGCTCTCAGCGCATCTGTCGTTCCAGATGATAATGCTGTTTTCTTCTTCAATTTCATCTCTTTCAGGTTTGGGGAAACTAGAACATTTCACGGCACAACCCACGCCCCTAGCAACAACACGTATCCAATAACTCGGCACGCTTTTAGGCGGCACCTTTACCCTCCCCGGACACAGGCTGTGTGGTCCACACCGCTGTCCGCCCTCATCGTGACGCGCTAAGCCTCCAATGGGAAGATGACTGAAAGCCTACCAACCAAGAGGCACGCTGTGGGTTACCGGATAACACGCACCGGACCCTGTCTTAACAGCAGACTCATCCGGATGGATGACGTGCAGACAGACCGACACATGAGAACATCTGGTGTATTTCTCGAAGAGCTATCATAGGTTTTAGTCCCCTTAGACATTTTATTTGTGCTTACAGGATTTATTAAACATTTATTAAACAGGGTTAAACGGGGTCTTTGTATCCATATCGTAAAACAAAAACAAACAAATTATAAAAATTAAGTTGGAATTAAGTCAGAAAGGTAGCATATATTAATACATATTTAACATATTTTCATATTATCTCTGTGACATAAATATTATTTTCATTATATTAATAAACTACGAAGATCTGATAACAGTCTACATCACATATCTTTAAAGTATTTAAACACTTTTTATGGTGATCTGAAAGATGTACGAAATATGTTATTATCTTTATTTTAAAAATAATATAATATATTTATCATTTTAATCAGGGCATTTGGTATCAGCAAAATTAGTGGAAAAAATGTTGTCAGCATACTGACTTTTTGTTTTGTACTTTGTGAAGCACTTTGTGATCTTTTTATCTAGAAATGTGCTATATAAATAAAATTTTACTTACTTACTTACCAGAAGCTCAAAACAGAAGTCAGTATTGGATAAGCTGTTTGGCATTGGCAGGGAAGATTTGACAAGTTTATAAGGGCCCAGCCCACACACTCAACTCGCTGCTCAATCCACAAATGCATTTTCCTTACAAGTGTGGCACCATTTAAGGGGAAATAAACAGGCTTTCTAACACTATGAGATTTATTTCCAAAAAGCATTGTTACAACAAAGAAATAATTGACCAAAATAAAACAAGTGGAAGCTCAGAGGAGGACATAACCAGTTTTTGAGACACCTGATCTGGGGCAAAATGATGACCCCAATATCAATTATGGATACCAAGTATTGTGTAAGGCAGGGCTCTGAAGACGTGGAGCTCTGAGGTTTGGTTTCTCAACTGCTATCTTTTCCCCCTCATTTGTTTCTGTGATGGACTAATCTTGAAGAATCTGTCCTGATTTATTGGTTTGGCAATAACTAGGAACCACTAAATATGGATCTAATGTTATCCGAGTCATGCTGTGAACACAGATATGCTGATGAATGTTTGCAGTTTTAAGGCCATATTCGGAGATGAAGCACCTCCGTTTGGCTTGTGACATTTTTTCTACTCTAAAATCTGGTTTCCTATTTTCTGTGTGATGTAATCAGAGGACCAACTGTCTTAGTGTATGTGGGCAGCATTGTCATTTTTTCACCCAATTTCTGTATCATCTAAATTGAATTGATAAAGACAGGAAAGGTACGGTGTAATGCACTTTTAGAATAGATACTATAAATACTAATACTGTCAAACTTTAAGCTGATGCTTGTGCTTCTCATCTCCTGACAGCTCTAGGTCTGACTCCTTGTCCACGATTGTGAGGAAAATCGTTTCTGCCTCAGTCTGCCCTCTGCTTCCTATAATTTGAACACAAAATGCGAGGTCCCTATGGACACTGATTAAAAGTAAAGAGGTAAAAAATAAATAAATAAATAACTAAAAAGGTAAAATTGCCATACATCTCTTAAATCCTAAAGCTAGGAGTCTCAAACTGAAGAAAACAATTTGATTTTAAGCAACAGAATCAAAATATTTGCAATATTATCACTTACCCTCCCTTTTGGCCATAAAATGTGGAAACTGCCATTCCCCTCATTTAGAGCCCAACAATCTAGCACACAGTATAGTATCAAGGTTTCTTTCTTTCTTTCTTTCTTTCTTTCTTTCTTTCTTTCTTTCTTTCTTTCTTTCTTTCTTTCTTTCTTTCTTTCTTTCTTTCTTTCTAAGACTATACTGTGAAAGTATTTTTACATTCTCCACACCTGTCAACAGGAAAGTTGAGTTTAACATTTTCTTTTTTTATATAGTGTCAACTTTGTGAGACAAAGATCACCAGGGTAACGCAGGGAGCAATGGGAATCAGTTGGTGGGTGGTAACAGGCGCTCTAAAGGCCCATAAAAACAATTATTAAACAGTCCTGTCATCCTCACTGTGCCTTATGTAGCACTCACACATCACCTAAAGCATGTTCGACATTTCAGCTGAACGATCTGACTTGCTCCTCGTACTTAATTTGATACTTGACTTGTAGTAGAAAGCAATCTTGTAAAACGTAATCATCATCCACTGGTGACAAATATATGATGCTATGACATCATGTAGTGGGTGGTTTAGGAACTGTTTATTCCTGGAGTTTTACATATATATATATATATATA